TATAGCGAAAACCTCTAAAAAAAATAGAGGTATGATAGAAACAAAATATAGGACAGTGGTTTCTAGGAAGGAGTTCTGCCCTTTCCCAGGAAAGAGCACACCTGGGGCTTCAATAATAGCATTAGCAATGGCCTATTTTAAAAAATCAGTTGTATTTATATGGGGATTATTTAATTATCCCATTTAAGTTACAAGTGCACATATATTTTATGCTTTATGCTTAATTCTTTACTCGCTGAAAGTGTCATTACACTGGTGTATATATAAATACACCACCACTCATTATGTGTGTGTGCAGGCTGTACACAGAGACCCTGGTCCATATTTTACACACATATACAAATATACACGTGCACACACACTTGTTTTTCTTTTTCTTTTTTTTTTAACTGCCAGAGGGCGCATGTGGTCATGATGGAGAGAGAAACTGAGAGACAGAAGAGAGGAGGAAGGAGAAAGTGTCCCCCAGGAGGACATGGTCACACTGCAATTCCTTCTCCTCTATTTCTCCAGCCTGTTGGGGTTTGGGTACACACATACATGTGCTCAGTGTGTTGTTCAAGCTTCCGGGATCAGGATTCAGTCCTCAGTCCGCCATGAGGGATCAGGCTCTGAACCACTAGGCCGTGGGGCCCAGCCGTCCATGCATGTATTTTCTGATCAGTGCAAGGCAGTGTGTTATAGCCTTAAAGGGGGACGGATACGTAACCGAACTGCAAACCGGAACAGGTCACATCCTGGAGATGGCACAGTCCTGATTTTTCTTCAGATCCACATTGACATGTGGAGTCTATCCACAGTACTAGTACTAGTTTGATTCATATTTAAATAAAAAAATACCAGTAAAAATAAAGAGGGGTCAGCAGGTGGCTTGGTGGTAAAGGTGCTGGACTCCCTCATGTCCGACATTGGTTCGAGTCCTGGACTTGGTAGCTTGAAATTCATGCCACATGTCCGTACAAGCCCAATCCCAAGGGAGAATGGAGGGGAAGGGATTGTGACGTGTCATTCTCCCAGGGTGTTGATTTCTCACTTTCCTTCTCTGTCTCTCTCCAGGGAAGGCCTTGTGCCCCAATGGCAAAAACCTAAAAAAATATATAAAAAATATAAAAGAGAGAAAGAAGAAAAATAAAAGGAGTGGAGGAGACATTTATTATACTTTATCTAGATGTGACATTTAATAATTAATCAAACTTATTAACATATCATTAAAATAAATTAATTTCATGATTTTTAAAAACATGTTTATTTTTTTCATGAGAGTGAAAGTCAGAGAGAGAGAAAAACAAAAACCTTTAACAAGAATTCCCCGTTGTAGTCATCCTCGACCTTCCCAGCCAGCCAGGACCATGGGTGTGCACACCCAGAATGCATGCACAGGTTGACTGGGGAACCGAACTTGTGATGTTCCTCATGGATCCAAAATTGCATGAGCAGGGTGTCAACCGACAAGGGTGACCATATGAGATCCAGCTGCATCATCTTGCTGGCCTTAAAATAAATAAATGTGTAAAGTTCGATGAGTTTTATCACATTTACAGTTATCTATTTGCCACCAGAATCTAGATACAGAACATTTCTTTCCATCACCTCAAAAAGCTTCCTTATGTCCCGATATATTTTTAGGTTTTTGCCACAGGGCACATGTGCTCACTAGAGAGAGACAGAAAGAGGGAAAGTGAGAAATCACCCTCCCAGAGGGGATGGCCACACTGCAATAACTTCTTTACTCTTTTCTCAGGATTCTGGGCACACATGCACGCGCCCAGTGTGATTCTCAAGCTGGGTCTGGGACTCGAACTGTAAAGTCACCCATGTGGGATCGAGTGCCTTAATCTTCATGCTACCTGCTGGGCCTATGTTGTGCTTTTTGTGTTTTATCTAAGAAATCTTTGTCTAACCCAAGGTTCCAATGATTTTCTCCTTTTTTTCTTTCTAAAAATTTAATGAAGTTTAGATCTACCATCCATTTCAAATTAGTAATAGTAATAAAAAAGCAAAAATAGCTACGAGTTTTTTTGTTTTGGTATGTATTGTTTCAGCCCCATTTGTTTTGGATTCTCTCCTTTTCCCATTGAATTATTATATTTTTCAAAAATCATTTATCAAGGCTGGCAGGGGGTATGGTGGTTAAGATGTGTTGGACTCCCACATGGCCGACTATGGTTCGAGTCCCAGACCTGGCAGTTCGGTTTCTCACTTTCCCTCTCTCTCTCTCTCTGACTCTCTCTGGTCAAATTAAAATAATAATAATAATAATAATAATAATGAGGAGGAAGAATAAAATTAAATAAAATAATTCTTTTTAAAAAGATTTAAAAAATCATTTATCATGTGTGCATAAGTCAATTTCTTTTTTGTTTGGAGAGGTTTTCGGTATAGGACGCGCACTCGCCAGAAAGACAGAGAGACAGAAAGTGAGAAATCACCCCCCAGGGGAGATGGCCACACTGCAATCCCTTCTCCTCCATTCTCCTCTCGGGATCTTGGGCACGCATGTACACGCGCCCGGCGTGAGTTTTAAGCCACTGGATCCAGGACGTGAACCGTGGTCGACTACATGGGAGTCCAGCAACATAGCCATTAATGCCAGCTGCTGGTCCCTGTGTGTGTAAGTCAATTTCTGAACTCTTTGTTCCAGTAGTCTGTGTCTTTCGTTACGCTATGACTTCACTGCCTCAATTCCTGGAGCTTTAAATACGTCCTGATCGCATGGTAAAAGTACTCTAACCTCGTTCTTACTTTTCAAAACTGTTTTGGTTAATCCGGCTCCTTTACGTGTCCATGTACATTTAGATTCAGCTTGTTCATTTCTACAATGAAAACCTGCTAGGATTTTGACTGAGATAGCTTTGAATCTATTCATCGAGTAGAGAGAATTGACATGTTAATAATATTGAGTCTTTTGATCACGGCATGCTATATTTCTGCATCTATTTAGGTCTTTAAAACTTTTTTCTTGGCAATGCTTAATAATTCATAGTGTATAGGTCTTGTACATATTTTGTTGCATTTATCCGTGTGTGTGTGTGTGTGTGTGTGTGTATAGTGGGTTGTGGGGAAAGTAATGACACATTTTTGTATAGAAAAACATGTCATGACTTTTCTGACAACTGCAATGTGTGTGTGTGTGTGTGTGTGTGTGTATTTATATTTTGCCAGAGGGGGCTTACATTCGCTAGAGAGGGGCAGAGCACAGGGCTTGGGGGTGGTGAGAAAGCACCTCCCCTGCTGGGGACCAGCCTCAGCGTGGGTGGGTTATCTCAACGGAGGCGGCGAAGGTGAACAGAAGACAAAGGCCTTGGTGCCTTTTTATGCACGTCCTTAGCCGGACACCCCTCAAAGATCGCTCTCTGAGGAGTGACGACTGCTGGGAATTATCGTGCCTTTTTATTGAAAATGTGTTACATACAAGTAAATGGGAGAAGGGCTACGTGTTTTAATTATCAGCTCATAAAGTCTTAAGAATAGGGAACATAGATTCTATTTAGGGTTGGATTAAGGGTGGGTCTCGTGCAGTTCCGCAATTGTAGGTGGGTCTTCACGGAATGCAGTTTCGGGAAAGCGGTTCCGGTAAGCAGAGATGGTTATCAGCTGATGCGGTGCAGCAGCCATCTTGTGATTACCAGGAATGGTGCTGAGAAAAGAAAATTTCAAGTATAGATATTCTTATGGATTTGAATAAAGAATGATACTTACACAGTTTTGTAGGGGTTTAAAACTTAATTTGAGGAATCCTAATATATTTATTTATTTTACTTGGTGAGGGTGGGGGGTGTCTTGGGCCAGTTTTGGCCTAATCTTATTTTAGGTAAAGAAAGGATTAAGTTTACCTTAAATGTATTTTGAAGGGCCTTCTAAAGTCAAGATTATTTTTGCCTAGATAGAACTTTAGCCCACCCTCTATTGTGACCATGGAGATAAAGCACTGTAATTAATAGTAAGTGATCAGAACAAAGGGGAGCAGTTGGGGGACTTCCTGGAAGATTTTATCATATACTCAGGATGTATAAGAGAGCTATGTAATTCTTTTACAGTAGTATATTGGGGAGTCAGAGGGGGGTCATTCCCAGCAAGGCTGCCACAGTTTCTGGAGCAAAATCCTAGGTCGTGGGGGCGCACAGTAGTGGCCTTGCCAACGTACTAAACCGACCGGAAGCGGGGGGGGGCAGCTCAGACAGATCCTGGGGCCCCGCCGGGTCAGACTCCTCCACTCCCCATGATGAATGGTCACACCTCAGTTTGTTCTTCTCCATCTCTTCTCCGTTTGGGATTTCGGGCACATATCGCATGTACCTGCTGTGGTTCTCAAGCTGCTGGTTCTGGGACTCAGACTACAAGGCTGGCCATATGAGATCCAGCTGCCTTATCAGCATACCGTGGACTGGCCCAAGTATTTCTATTTTTATGCTATTTAAGTTATTATGTTTTAGAGCGATTTTTGCTATATGGTGCATGGTCTCATCAGAGGCACAGAGAGAGACAGAGAGACAAAAAATGAGAACTTACCCCCAGGAGGGGGATGGCCATGACTGAATCACTTCTCCTCCAGTCTCCTTTTGGGATTCTGGGCACCCATGGACACAGGCCTAGCAAGAATTTTAAGCCTCTGGGTCTGGGACTTGAACCGCAGTCTACCACAAGGGAGTCCAGTGATGTAACCATTACACCATCTGCTGGTCCCATTTTATTTTTTATTTTTTTAATTATGCTGGAGGCCCAGTTATCAGTGGGACATCTTCCTTTTTCCAAAAATGGCTAAATCGCAGGAGCCATGGAACTGTCTGTCTCTTGGAGAAGGGCTGTTCTGGTCCCATATTTTTATGCTATTTAAATGATGTCCTTTAAATTTTCAATTTGTCATTGCTTGTGTATAAGAATACAATCAAATTTTGTATATTACTCTTTTATTCTGTGACTTTGTCAAACTCACTATTAATTCTAGTACCTTTTTGATAAATTCCTTAGGATCTTCCACATATATGATAATGTTACCTGTGAGTAATGACAGTGTTTCTTCTTTTTGATCTGTATGGCTCTTGCTTCTTTTTATTTTCTTTTTGCAGTGAACAGGTCCTCCTGTACAACATTAAATAGAAGTGAGAGTGGATATCAAAATGACACTTTAAAACTTAGTTTTAAAGTGGTGTGGTGGTTAAGGCTCTGGATCTCACATGGCTGACAGTGGCTTGAGGAACACTTCAGGTGTGTGTGCACATGTGCCCAAAATCCTGAGAGGAGAATCCCGTTCTTCTCTCTTTCCAGGAACTCACTGCAGCTGCCCGCATTGCAGTGTGGCCACCCCACAGGGGTGCTTTCTCAATTTCCTTCTCTCTCTCTGCCTCTCCAGTGAGTGCCTGTCCCTATAGCAAATAACAAAAAACAAAAACAAAAACAAAAACATAAGTTTTTTTGTACCAGATAGAAGTAATCACCAGCTGTAATAGAAGTACAAGCAAAATATGATGAGATGTGGAATGTGAGTGTGTGTGACAGCTGGAGTTATCAGAAAATGGAATGACTGAATTGTATTCAGAGGGGAAAGTTTTAATTTTTATTATTTTTTAAGAATGATTTTATTTACATTTACCTTTTTTATTTATTTGTTTATTTACTTTAATTTGACCAGAGTGGAAGAGAGAGAGAGAGAGGAAAGTGAGAAAGCAAGCCGCCAGTTCTGGGACTCGAACCATGGGTGGCCATGTGGGAGTCCAGTGCCCTTAACCACCACACTACCTGCCAGATCCTCTATTTTGAAATTTTCTCAGTAAAGAATCTTCCTGGGGATGGGCATAGGGGTTGGGTTTCTAGCAATAAAACATCTTTGGTTTCTGCCTTAGAGGAGACCTTGTGCAATAGGCTGCCTCTCCCAGACTTACTGTTGCAGAAAACCAGACACAGAGGACTGGAAAGCAGCACTCGGAGAGATTAGGAGAACTGTTTATTACACCAGCGGGCACGGAAGAGTGAACACTCTAGATCTTCGGCCGGGGGGAAATTTTTAAGGGGCTGAGTTTTTGAGCAGGTCCCCTGGCTGTACTTGATCTCACTCTGGGACGTGACAGTTTTGGTGATCTGTTGCTGCCACCTCACTGTATGCCATTCAGCCTAGCCCTCTCTTTCCATCAGTTCCAGGATGCTGTCTTCTCTCTGCATGATGACGTGTCCCCGAACTTGCACCCGCATCCTGGGGTTGAGCCTGGGAACTGCAGCCCTGTTTGCCGCTGGGGCCAACATGGCGCTTCTCTTTCCTGATTGGGATGTGACCTACCTGTGGAGGGGCCTTATTGGCAGGCATGCCATGCTGGGCACTGGATTCTGGGGAGGAGGCATCATGGTAAGTGCCTGGGGTTCCCTGGTTGTGAACTCCCCATCCATCACCCAGGGTGGAACAGGGACGTGGTATGGGAGGAGTGAGCTGATTCCTTGCCGAGAAAGTTGGTGTTAATGAGCTGGTCTTGGGTCCACAGAAGCTCCAAGGGAATAGGAAGATTTTTTTTTTTTT